TGAAATTTTCTAATACAAACAAACCGCTTTGTACACTACAGGGAAACAGATTTTATACGCAAAAAATACAAATTCTTTTGACTTTCTTGTTTTTAAATGGCCGTGTTCTTCAGCGAAGGTGTTCCATTCTGTACCAGTCGCATAAAGTTTTGTGTATCCTGTATCTGAAACCATTCACACAGCCACATAGTAACTTCTTCTTTCTCCCCTGTCCTCTGCCCAACTCAATATTCCCTTGCATCGTCAGCATTCTCTTATCGTATCCAAGAGTCCACACCCATATTCACCCTGATGCAGGTGATTGGTTTATCGAGGTTGTTGCAACGTGCTTAGTTAAATTCGCCGACAGGATGAAGTAATACAGTAATTGCAATACAGTAATAGTAATACAGTAATAATAGTAAAACAAAGCTCAAGGGAAATATCGACTAAGCGAGAGGTATACAAGCTAAAGGCACCATTAAAAAACTGGATATGTGAGTGTGAAAAGATTGTTGAAAAAACTCGTATGGTGTGTAAAGAAGTCAGTAAAAGGAGAAAAAGCCAGAAGTAAGTAAAAGCAAGCTGATTCTGGATTGACCAAAAGAGGCGGAGGGGTGAGGTGGTATTGATAAAGGAAGTGTGTAAGAGAAGAGAACAAGAACTTGATTGCTGGAAAAAACGGTTAGAAGAAGAGGAAAAAAGTGTAGAGGAGACAAAGTGTAGATTATGCAAGCAAAGGGCTAAAGATCCATAGTTTATTGACTTAACGAACGATCGAGAACAAATCTTCGTTGTACCATACGACTGTGCCGCGGTAAAAATTAAAGAAAAAATAACAAAAGAAAATTCTTCTCCTTCAGAGCTTAAATGAAACTGGCTTGTATTATACCCTGTACCTGCTTATATATTGTTTGAGGGGGACGGAGCTAAAGAAGGGAGATGAACATTGTCTCGGATGACAAATTCCCATATTGGTGACCTGAGTCGTGGTTAAGATTGTTTGGTTTCTTATAAATTTCTATAAATTCTCCTATTTTTCTTTGTTAGAAGAATTGATTACATGCAAGAATTTAATTTTTTGTAGAATAAAATTTGATGTTCGGTTTCATGACTGTGTTCTGCAAATCCTACTGACTTTATTTTCTGTAGTCTTAATGTTCTTTCGTGTCCTTCAAGCCTAGTTGATATTTTTCGTCAGGTCTCTTATTCGTAAACTACTGGTATCTCACCCGGAATTTTGTCTTTGACGGATCGAGAATGTTGAGAGATTTTCGGACAAGTGGCAAATCGGGTTTTGACATTATATTTCTCAAGAACTTTTGATATATGGTCAGTGATATTTTGAGTGTAAGGTAAGTAATATCTTTAATGTGAAAATTATTAGAGAAAGGAGCAGATGTAAGGTGATTTAGTTCTGAGTTCAAAGACACGGGTTGATGATTTTTGGATCGGATGGTGATGTGACAATCAATTAAGGTATCGGTCTGTGTGCGTTGGTTTTTTGTGTGATTTATAAACAAACGACGCAGGAAAAATCCAGAAGATTTGTAAATAGTATTACAGTAGTCTGTAGAAGATATCTTGAAAAATTAAACGGAATAGACTTGATTGCCGTCGCAAATGAGTAATTTAGGCAGTAGTGCCAATATATTTATAAGGATTGAATAAGATCATTTCACGGATATAAACTCGACGAACATTAGGTTGAGCAATGAAAGAGCTACCTTAGGTTCAGGATCGAAGACCACCTGTATATAGAACGTGCGAGGTCCGACAATTTCGCATTTTAATCTTGCACGTTTTAAATTTAACCGGCAAACAATGTAACTCACAAAGGGACACGTAGCGTCGATCTGCGGCCGTTACGTCCGTTTTATCACACCCCCCTATAACCCCGGGGATCGTGAGCGTCCGCCGCAGGACCGCGGTCACGTGACAAATAGCGTTTTCCCGCCACCCGGACGTCGAACTACGACGGTTTTAAATTTCCGCCTCCCCATACCGATACGTTATCGTAATCGTACGCGTTACGTGAATCCGGCAACTTATCTACCTGATACAGGGTGTTGATTAATTTACGTCATATAATCACACGATCTGAACCCCGCCTTCGTGCCTAATCGATTGGGTAGAAATTGGATTTCAGTAAATTTGTATGAATAAAGTATCAAAACGTCAAAACTGTTGTCTCGATCTAATTTGATATTTTTCTCCAACTTACGAAAGGTCCGATTTGTTTTTGTAGAATACAATATTTAATAACAAACTGAAAATATCCTCGTCTCTGCGATTTTACAAAATTTCATAAAATAAATCAACAAACTCGAAATTATTCATGAATAAAACATCTAGTCTTTCACAACAGTGTTGTGCTGAATTCCTTTCACCTGCTTAACTAAAAATTTAGGAGTATTAACTTTGTAAAAACGATAACAAAAACACAGTGAACTGGACAGGTATCTCGGAGTTTAAAGTTGAAATGAAACCCCTAAAAAAATGTCCTACAAATTATCACATTGTGATGAATTCTACAGACCCATTACAGAACACAGGAAAATATTGCAAATTGAATTGCTCAAAAGCTTAACAGGGAGAGGCCTACAGTTTTAGCTCTTAAATACGACGACTTGCGCCACGGTGATATAATGCCTCCACCACAGAATTCTTCCATATGAGTCAATCGTCAATTTTGTTAATATAGAAATAGTGTTAACTTTAACTTATATTAGCAAGTTTTTTATCTTTTACTAATCATTGACTTTAAAATTAAACAGCGTACGAACGGACTTTTTTCTCTGTTCTATCTATTTTAAGGGTATATTCTTGAAAAATATATATCACAATTTTCATTCTTCTTTGAATTGGAAAAACCAAACTACAGCCATAAAAACTTTATGGTATTTCTCTGTGATAAGTTTCGATTCCATCAATTATTTCTCTGTGACAAGTTTCTATTCCATCAATAATTTAAAACAGCTCTCGTGAAAAATTAATAATTTTAAGGTACGACTTTTCGTATCCATGGCGACGATATGTATCTGAATCATCCGAAGAGATGACCATTTAGGTCGATGAGATAGAGAAAGTACACAGTAGGTTTTATTTTTTTTTGATGAATTGGAAATGAACAATGGCTTGCAAGTTCAGAGTTCAGTCGTAGGCACAGCGAAGATTCAGATCAATATATTAGAACCTTCAACCTTACCTTTTAAGTACAGTTTGTGATATGTGTGATTGATTCCTTATTAAACTGTTCCTACGAAAGCGGAATTAAGGGAAGCAAATTTATGCGATAAGAGTTCGAGAAAAATTGAATCGCATTGTCAATAAATGCGGATGTTCTAAAAGCATCAAATTCAATTCGTGATTGATTTGGTTTGATTTGTATGATACGCTAGCGAAAATAGCCGAACCTCGTCGAACGAGCCTCACACCGTCCCGACAAATGAGACTGTCCTGTTGATATGTTCGTAGCGACTGGAAATAACGCGAAACCTCAATTTTAACGTCGGCGAACAATGACGGCCGATATTTCAGACGGGACAGAATGTCCGGCAAGAAATAATAAAAATCTTAAACCATTACGCCAAGTAAGGAAAGGCGAGACAATGTAGGTCACCCGGTATAAAAACGGCGGTAAATCACCCGTGCCGTGGGAGCCCGCTTCACTTCCCCGCAAGTTTTCCTATCGGCTGAACATCTGGACGAATTAATTCGGATGTTCGGTCGGCTTGCTAAAGCAAAAGTTTTTGTTCGCACATCGTTTATCCGAAGATACCAATAAAAGAGATGGCATTATATGATTGTCAACTAGTTCTTAATTGCTCTTTATTCAGGAGATGTATATAAAGTGGCACCTAAATGGTGCCAAAGACTTGACTATGTTTTAAAGGGCAGTCTTGTCAAACCTCTATTGTCGACAGTTATTGTGGGATCTTTTTTCAATTTCTGGTCAGCAAATGTCATTATAGAGTTGTTGTTGCTTTCTGTTTATAATCTTTGCTACAATGAAGCACCATCGCTGTTGACGCTATAATGTATTTTTCGCCTATTAGTAGTTTTTAATGAATAGGTTCTTCTTAAATATTATTTGACAAAATCTTAAACAAACGGAAACACCAGACGAATGGCATCACCACACCTGTATCCAAGAAAGGATTAAAAACCTGCCCAGAAAACTATAGAGGAATAATTTTCTTGAATACGACAATGAAACTCTTAACGAGTATTCTCAAGGACAAACTGGAAGAACAAATTAAGAATGCTGAAGAACAACAGGGCTTCACAAAGGGACGGTCAACAACAGACGCAATGTTTATAATAAAACAAATAAAAGAAAAGGCCACAGAGTACAACATGCCAGCGTATATCTGCTTCATTGACCTAACAAAGGCATTTGATAGGGTCCGATTGGGAGACGTTTTACAGATATTAATGGAAAATAAGGCACCAGCAAACATAACGAAGATAATCCACAACCTAAATAACAATAACGTAACAAAGGTGAAGGTAAGAGATCAATTCACTGAAAATATTCGAACACCGGGAGGAATCAGACAGGGTGACAGTCTAAGCCCCCTTTTGTTTAATCTTATCATGGACAAAATTATAAACAAAGTAACAGGTCTCAACCTCGGATACCGACCGGGCAACAAAAGAGTTGGAATGGTGTGGCACGCCGATGATGCAGCAATCATCGCCAAATCAGAAAACGACCTACAGAGACAACTATTCCAGTTCTTCCTAGAAAGCCGCCAACTCAATATGAACATTTCTGTCAGCAAGACCAAATGTATCTCAATCACGAATGATCCGCTCAGATGTAAGCTGGTGGTGGAGGACAAACCCATAGAACAAATGATGCAATTAAGATATCTGGGCATAGATATATCAAGCACCCACGACCCAGTTAAAGACATAAGGAGCCAGATTACCAAAGCATTATCAGCATACCTACGAGATATAGTCTGGTCCAATTCGTACATGCGCAAGGATATCAGCATTAGAATCTACAAGACATGACGTACGGCACGGAAGTCCGTGAAGACACCAACAAGACGAAACGAATGCTAAGAGTAACAGATATGAAAACAATGAGGACAATAGTGGGCAACACAAGAAGAGACAGAGTAAGAAACACAGATGTCGGAGAGCAGTGCGGGATACAAGATATTGTGATAAGGGAAAAACAACGTAAGAGGCAGTGGTACAACCATGTAAGACGGATGGACGAGAACAGACTTCCGAGAATAGTCCTGGAAAACAAACCGCCCGGCCCAAGACCTCCCGGGAGACCACCTAAAAGGTGGACAGATAGTTGGCAATCCACATCACAGGAAAAGATGCAGACGCAGCTTCAGAATTAACAGATCGACAGATCTCCAAGAAGTAGAAGAAGAAGAAGAATATATTAAGTTAAGTTCCTCACCAGGGCTTCACTTCCGATTGTTCACAAATGTTAATGACGTTTACACACCAATTTGTCTTCCACAAATATACTTGACGCTTCCAAAGGTGGTGTAATAAATAATGTTCCAATACATACCGAAATCAGTGCACGGTATAGACTCACATCCACTTCAAGGTACGGCAAAAGATTAATTTAATATCACAGAATAGCAACTTATACACTAGTCATCTCCAGAAAACCCAAGTAGTAACTGAAACTACAGATACTTTGCAGAAATTTTAGTTTGCACAACATTTATCCGGAGATACCAATAAAAGGGGTGGATGACAATGTTTCATTGTCAACTAGTTCTTGATTGCTCTTTATTCGGGAGATGAATAGGAAGCGGCACATAAATGTTAAAGACTCGGCTATATCCGAAACTCTTTTTCACTATCTGGAAAGCAAATATATCATTATGGTGTTGTAGTGCTTTCTGTTTATAATCGTCCTTATACTGTAACACTGTCACATTTTGCTTATCAGCTCTAGTTACAAACGTGTCATTTTTCTTGAGGAAGAACTTAGTTTTCCTTGTTGCTACTTCAAAGGTTGATATTTCATTATTCCTATTTAAGAAGATGTCTATCAAATTTTGATATTCATCGTCTGTTGAAGCTGTAATGTATCTTTTGTCTCACCCGGACTTCACATCAATATTGATGAGGTTCACACAGAAATTTGTTACTTCCAAAGGTGGTATCAGAGATAGTGTGCCAACATCTTCCGAACCCAGTATGGCCTTACATCCACTTCAAAGCGGAACAAGAGAATCAATTAATTTCATAAAGTGACCGCTAATACACGATTTGCCCATAGGAAACCCAAGTAGATTCTAAATTTATATATAGCAAAAGTTTTTGTTCGCGCAAGTTTTATCCGGAGATACCAAGAATAGGGATAACATATGATTATCAACTAGTTCTTAATGGCTTTTTCCTCATTATCTGTGTAGAAAGCGGCACATAAATGAATGACACCTGTCAAGGCCTCGGCTATGTAATAAGAGACAGTCTTGGCAAACGTCTACTGTCGACTGTAATTGTGGCACCATTTTTCAATATTTGATAAGCAATTTTATCATTATGGGGATGTAGTGCTTTCTGCTATACTGAAGCACCGTCACATGTCCATTTTTCTTGATGTTACTGTAAATGTTAATATTTCGTTATTCTCATTTAAGAAGGTGTCTATTAGATGTTGATCTTCATGTTCTGTTGAAGCTATAAGCTATTATATCATTTTCTTCGGATGTATGAAGTTAAGTTTCTCACCAGTACTTCACATCCGATTGTTTGTCAAAATTAGTGAAGTTCACACACCAAAGGTGGTGTAATAGATAGTGTTCCGACACCTTCCGAACCCAGTGGGTTGAATAGCCTCACATCCACTTCAAGGTGGAGTAAAAGATTGAGTAAATTTCACAAAGTACCCGCTAATATAGGATTCGCCCCCAGGAAAGCTAAGTAGATATTAAAATTACATATATAAAGCAAAAATTTTTGTTCGCACAACATTTATCCGGAGATTTTTATAAAAGTAATGGCATGTTTGTCAACGAGTTTTGATTGCTCTTTATTCAGAAGATGTATAAAAAGGGGCACCTAAATGAATGACACCTGTTAAAGACTCGGCTATGTGTTAAAGGGGAGTCTTGTCAAACGTCTATTGACGACTGCTATTGTAGTTGTAATTGTAGTGTTTTCTGTTTATAATAGTTTCTACACTCAAGCATCGTCACATTTCCCTTATCAGCTCTATTTACGAAAATGTCATTTTTCTTGATGAAGAACTTAGTTTTCCACGTTGCTACTTCAAAGGTTGATAATTCATTATTTTCATTTTAGAAGGTGTCTATTAAATGTTGATCTTCATCTTCTGTTGAAGGTAAAATGTATTTGTTGTCTATTATTATTGTTAATGAGTAGGTTATTCTTCGTATATATTAAGTTAAGTTTCTCACCAGGACTTCACATCCGATTGTCAATATTAGTGAGGTTCACACGCCAATTTGTCTTCTACAAATATGCACTTCCAAAGGTGGTGAATAGACAGTGCTCATCACCTTCTTATCTCAGTGCATAGTATGGCCTCACATCCGCTTCAAAGTAGGGAAAAAGATTGAATTAATTTCACAAAGTAGATGCGCTCCGAAAAAACCCAAGTAGATACTAAAATTATAAAAACAATTTTCAAAAAATTCCTAGTAATAATGGATATGGGAAGGAAAGTAATCATCTGAAACTGAATACATTAGCCATGTGACAACTATCCAAAGATTGTGAATCATGGTATGTTACCTCAGAAACTGTTATTAAATAATTCTTAATAATTATTATTATAAATTATAAAAATCGCTAATAAACATGGTATGTTACCTCAGAAATGTTATTAAATAATTCTTAATAATTATTATTATAAATTATAAAAGTCGGTAATAAACATGGTATGTTACCTCAGAAACTGAGAGAGAGAAGAGAGAGAGAGGGAGAGAGAAGAGAGAGAGAGAGAACTTGAGCCTCAAACCCATCTGATAAATAGCCGAGCATTGCAGATCGATATCTCTAGGTCTACCGAAGCTACCGAAGCGGAACAAGCTTCCAAGTCAATCGAAGCAGAACGAGCCTCAGAAGGTTACGTCCAACATCGAAGATGTAAGGATTTTTGCCACTAACAAGTGACAAGCCAGGAACCAATTCCAACCGACAGCAAACGACCCGAATCTGACCAACATCTATAAGCAATTTGAGAAATGTTATAATGTCCACAACATTCATACGTTTATGATGAATCACTACTGCCTTAACTAAACTGTCGATAATTATTATATGTTCAATGCCTTTGTCATAAACTGCCATTTCTCTCCCCCAAACGATCATTTAAAGCGAGCATTCGGTACGGACCATAACCAATAATTGAACTGAGAACGTCTCGCAAGGAAAGAGGGCCAGATACCGGAAAAGCGACGTTAAATCGATCGAATTCATATCGTCGAATTTCCTTCGACGTGCAACTTGAATTTTATGATTCTCAGATATCGACCGTGCTCCCGTAAAAACGTCCTAAGGAATTTAAACACTCACTCGTTTCGTCCGCGTTAATACACTCGAAATACTCCAAATGGGTTCGTTCTACTCAGAACGGAACCGAACTGCAACTTTCATGTTTTTTCATAGCGATAATAATAAGAATTTTTTTGTCTAAATTAAAAATAATTTACAATTACTTAAAAGAAAATTAGGTGTTCTCTGTTGGTGCAGTCCAGCTTAGTAGATTAGGCCACAAATTTTAAACAAATACTATTATACCATACTGTTAAACAATAGTCACTGACTTGCACTATAAGCGAACTCTTGAAATTTAGGCTACATACAAGTATATGTGGAAAGTAGAAAGTGCTGTATAGTAAATGAAGTAAATATTTGTCAAATTTAGATGTAAAATTAACACTTAACTCTTAAATTTAATAAATCAACTGGCAAAGCATTAAAACAATACATTATAAGAAAACCAACGCTGAAACATCGCATTGTGATGACAATTTATTCCTATACCTCATTTGAAGATTATGATGAGTGAAATATTTATTTCTAGTAATTTTATATAAACAGCCATATTTCAAGTCGTATGGATTGGATACGTGATTGTACTTTGTAGAGCCATATATAGGGTGTTTTCTAATTAAATGTCAATAATTAAGGGGCCTATTGTTGGGTCGATTTTAAAAATAAAACGTCATACTTATGATCTTGCACGTCCTGGTGCCTAAAATTGTGTACAATTTTTTATTGTAACCATATCATATTTACCGAGTAAAAGCATTTCTTTGCAAAGATTTTCCCTTACTTGTTTTTGTCAATGGTTTTTGGACAAAATTGAGGATTATCCCTTTTTTGACCAAGAAATACAGATGAAGCTAACTTTTCCAGAAATGCAATCAGGAATTGCCACAATAACCATATTTGAGTCAATGGAAACCTCCATGCAGTTGTAGAATTTAAACAATAAGAACAGTTTTCGGCAAATTTTTGAACTTAAATTGTTGAAAATTACTTAACTGAACCCTTTTCCCTCCCAGAAAGTCTATAATTATCGCCGATTTGCGAGAAGATTTGCCAATATTGCTAGAAGAAGTACCACATTTAATTAGAAACAGAATGTGGTTAATGCATGATGGAGCGCCTGCTCACGTTAGTCTTGCAGTAAAAGAATATGTAAATCAAATATTCAATAACAAAAGGGAAGGTCGCGCCGGACCTCAACCATGACCCCCTAGCTTCTCAGACTTAAAAAGTTTACACTTAAAAAACGGCATCTTAAAATTTTGGTGTATCGCACCCCAGTGGACACTGTAGAAGAACTATAGGATCATATAAGCGCTTCATACGATTTAATAAGCAACACTGGAGGTATACTTCAAAGAGTGCGCGGTGTATCCTTCAAGGTGGAAGACACTTTCAACAACTGATCTAGTTTCTTGGTTGTTATTAATTTATTAACAGACAATTTTTTTAAAAAATATTAAAAGTAACTAGTATTTAATAAGCTAGTGTTTACATAAAAATAGTTTATTATTTATCTTGTTGTTAGGATGTTATTTCATTAAAACTGTAAAATTAAAAATAACAGTCTAACATTTAGTAACTAGTTTTAGATAGATATTTTATTTTTCACAAAAAAAATCTTCATTTAACCAGTGCAGTGGCGACCTAATTAACCAAAATATTATTTGTTCATAGTCAGTGGCACGTCACAAATGTTATCTCTTTTTTTTTTAATCCGTTCCACAGTTTTCACCTAAACATAAAAACTAATTTCTCTGTTATGCTGTCAAACTATTTGATGTGGCCATGTAGAAAAGAGGTTTTTATTTTTTTAAGCGACAGCCGTACATCGGATTGAAAAAAATAAAAAAAATAAATTTATTTAGAAATGATTTAAGACTATAAGAACAATTTTTATTTTAAGAGAAATCAATGGCGTACTATCAATATCAGCCAAAATAAAGAGTTGAAATTCCGTATGCCTGCCACTGGTGTATTTTAAAAAATTGCCTCGTGATACATAGCACACGTGTGTCCAATTAAATTAATATATCTGAAGTGGTATTAGAGATTTTAAAAAATATGTATTTAGTTTTTGAAAATTTTACCAGCCTGTATCAATCGAATACAGAAATTTTGAATTTTATTTCTGGTGTCCACATTGAGACAGATATCGTAAACAGACTCATTGTAATTACAGTATGATAATACTATGGTTTCACAAAAAAAAATTCCTTAGTTTCAAATATATCCGTTGCCCCAAAGCATTTTTAGAAACAAAAAAACGCTCTTCTGAATATAATTTTAGGTGTTGCTTAAACCTGAGATTATTATCGATTGCTATTCCCAAGTTTATTGTTTTATCAACTAAACCAATTTTGGTATTGCCTATAGAGATTTCAACGTGAAAAACCACTTTATTCTTGCATCCAAAAATCTTCAAATGAGTTTTCTCAGGATTTAGTCTCAAATTGTGTTTTTTGGAAAGTTCACTGACTATTTATCAGGCCTCATTAATAAATGTAATATTCTCCAAGAAATCTTCCGTATCAAAAAAACAGTAAATGCAGGTATCATCAGCGACTGCCTGTATTTGACAGTATCGCAGTGACCTACGAATAACTCCCGATAAAATATTATTACACTGGGAAGCTGCATTCTCAAGATCACATTATTTTAATTTAAATAACGGAAGTGAATAATTTATCATAACAAATTCCTTTGAATAATCTAAAAGAATAAGTATCACTCAAATAATTAAATTATCGACGAACAAAGGGTTATATAAACATATTTCAAATATTTAATATTGAGTTTGATTACCTTTCGCTCAATAATCCAGCCTTATGACGCTTTTCGGAGTTTTGTTCGTTAACCGTAAACTTCAACTACAAATTGTTATAGAATTCTTTGTATCCTCAGTTAAATTCCTCTTAAAGTTGTTATATATAACTTCTCAGCGGGAACATAAATAAATATCGATTCTTTCGAGAAATATTAGTGTGAGTAAAAAAGAAACACAATCGAAATTAAAGAGCAGTGTTTTCTCTACAAGGCCCACATAAATTTAAATATTTATGAACAAGTCAAGGTGAAGTAAGTAATATGATTTATGATTTGTATAAATCAAAAAAAAACTCATCAAGTTTTTAAAGAAACTAAGAAAGAATTGCTTATCAAAATTATTAAAACGACGACCGAAGATTTTCATTTGAACAGCCACAGATACTGAATCAACGTGCTGAATTTTTAATGAAATATAAGGAAAACTACGTTCAAATTTCAGTAAAATGGCATTTTTAGCAGAAATCTCGATATTTTCTAATCGAAGTGGTTCAAAATTTTGGCAAGGGAAAATGGTTTATTATTTTGCGTCCTGGTTATTCAATAGATTCTTCAACGCTACCTATAATTCAAACACTTCAAATAAACAACCTACTTCGTCTTGGCAGAACAATAACACTTTAGAGTGGCTTGAAAAACAGATTCAAATAAATAAATTAAATATGCTGAATTCGGAACTCCTTTCAAAGGCGGAATAAATGAAATAACCAAAAATAAACAGATTCAATACGTGTTGTGTATAAGTTGGAAGACGAGGGCTTTTATAATTAACGGCTTTTAAATTTTTTGTCTATAACATTAAACAGTTTCTTTTATTTTTATACTTATATATTGTGTTCCTTTGTATATAGTTTCTTGTGCATTATTTAAACCGGCTCCCGCTGTTCATTTTCTTTTTATTTCTAGACATAAGTCAGTTAGTTTTAGCTATATTGAATTGAACTGATTAAAATTGCTGCTAATAAGACAAAAATCAGTTTATTATTAATTAAGTTAGCCAAATAATCGGTAAAATATTTTTTTTGTAACTGTTTAACAACCACTGTATTGTAATCTATGTGAAGATAATTTTATGTGGCCATCATAACACTATGAAAAATAAAACGAATTTTTCTTATGGTATTTTTGCATTTGCACAAATTTTTTGTAATTTCTTTGTTTTCTGATTTTATTCATATAATACCCGCATGATAAAGAGTTCAACAATCTTTTCGGCTGTTTTTAGCAATTAAATTTTGCCACGAACTCTATGAAGCAGTGTATATGTTACCGTGAACGACTTGTAATCCTCCTGATATAATTTACTTGTGCTGATGTTCTTTAACATCCTCGAAGCGCTGCTAATAAGCAATTTCTGGTATAGCCTTGAGTTCTTCCGGCGATTTCCTCTTTCGTTCTCAATCGTTCCAAACCTCCGTCTTTTCATGCATTTTTGACCAAAAAGTTCGACACAAGTTACGATAAGTTAGCGGTTTATATCGGGATGCAAAGTCAATGAATTCTTTTCCCATAATTCTGGACGTTTTCTTCCCATACTTCTGGCAAATATCGCATAACTCTTCATAAACCGTAGGATCTTGTGATTAGAAATTTATCGTGGCATAGTACTCACGGTAATCAAAGAAAACAGTAAGCAAAAATTTGAGATTTGAACATAACGTGTTCTTTCGGTCTTGGCGATTCTGGGTTCTTCCATTGGCACGACTAGGCTTAGATTTCGACGTTACAATCATATACCAATGATTCGTCACCAGTTATGACCTTTTTGAGGATATTAGGATCATCATTGACGT